AAGTCATTTAAATACAAATTTTCGGCTAAAAACTAGTTAAACTAACTAACTAAAAACTAACTGATAATATTTCTTCTGGAAAATAACCTCTTTTAAATGGACCGATAGTATTTAATGCAGATATTTGTATAACAATCAAACCATGTGTGGGGACGGTGAACGGAGTAACTGAAAAACTTATGAATTCTCTCCAGAAGATACATATTTCTTTCAACAAATTTAGCCAAATATTTCCGTATCCTCAGAAAACAAATTTAATTTTTCAGCGCTAACCTACTTCGCTGAGTATCGGCCCGTCGAACCTATGAACTGATTCCCCCTTTCACATGCTCCAAAATTGCATTCTGAATAATGTAGTGTTAATTCTCGAGAGTGCCATGTTCCCTGTTTTATGGGTTTAATGCTTTTGTTTATTGGTCTGCTGTTGCGTCAAGCAGGGCTTCTGCTTGGGTCTGGGCCTGGGCTCGGACATGGCGGTGGGGATATGCCTGGACATGTGGGACTTACAGAAAGGAAACCCAGTTGGTGGTGCTGCTGTTACTGTTGACATACGATAAGAAAACGCGCATTGTTTGGCCCTAGGCTTTGAGACCGGTGGATGGGAATCGACCCGGACAGTTGACACTGCTAACAAATTAAATTTGCATTCTGCTGACCAACGCCCCAAACAGTGGAGAAGGTGGCGCTGAGTATTAATTGACATAAATAATCCCGGCAAAGCAGTGTCATAAAATACCAAAATAAATGAAATGTGGAATTCCACTAATGTCAGCAGAGCACGATTCCGTCTCGGAGGGAGTGTCAACCATCTATCAAAAGTATTTTGAGGTCCATCCATTCCCATAAATGGCGAATGGATGTCGCCAACAAACATTTTAATCGATTCTTTATCGCCTTTCAGCACGAACACTTTTGGTTCGGTATGAATAAATTAAAGTCGTAATAGACAATCAATAATTATGATTGACAATATGGTCGCTGCATTAATTGATGTTCTGACACATTTCATTCCGACTCATCGGCGAGTGCTTTACGATTCCGAGTGTCTGTGTACGAGTCTATGTGATTTCGTTCGCTTTTACTCTGGCATAAGCACATTGATGAATAAATGTTGATTGGAATTTCCCGGTATGTAAATGATGTGTAGAAAATTGTTTCTATTTAAATATGCTCGACGAGGATTTGTGGCCGAAATAATGTGAAAAATTCATGAATTGCAAATTTTAGCAGTTTGCCACAAAGCCTCGATATCTACATACATATATACTCGAATCATGGCTTTGAAATACATTTAAATAAAGCTTGTTTATTTCATTTGATTTGAGTTTAAAATTAAATTTTGACAAGTTCGAGTTTTAATGAGAAATATAATATGTATGATCTCCTATTAGCCCACAGTCCTGAGAAGGACGAAACCGGATGGATTTTTATAGATATAACATTTACATACACCACAAAGTATATATTGGTAAGTTTTTGATATGGGTAATACGGATTTAGGAATGTAGACAGAGAATTACTTTTACAATTATGGAAAACTTTGTCTCAGAGAGAATTTAGGTTCCGTTCCAAATAAAATTTGAGTTGAGACTGACTATTCCCAGTCAATACGACGTGAAAGCCCACTTCTTGTCCTCTTGATCTGCCCATTCTTTACAATGCCCTCAGCCTAAGCTTTTTGTGCCCGAAAAACTTCTCCAGGTGTAATCTTCCGCGTGTGGACGAGAGGATCTGCTTAACAAAGTATATTAAATTTCGAACTGATAGTTGTACACATGTAAACACATGACGAATTAATGTTAAGGAGATTTTGGCTAATGGAAATCAAAATTAAGCTCAGCTTTCAATGATCAATTTTCAAAAAGCCCAATCATTTTTATTTCCGACACACCAAAAACGATAAAGGTAATTTTTATGAATACTTATTTGAGGGCTGTGTAAACTGTTTTTGTTTGCAATATTTCGAGAGGCCTTTTGTCATTAATTTTAAAGTTTCTCTTCTGTATAGTTAAGGGCTCAATAATAATGTCTGGCTGGGTGAATGTTTGGGGGGTTTTGGGGTCGCGTTTTTCAGGGCATAAAGCGCACACAGATGCGAGTACACCAACACAGATACACACGAGAGAACAGGGACACACACATGGACACACATGAGTTCTCCCATCGCCAGACCCGACCGAATGAACACTTTTAATAATTTCGTTTTATGGAAATGGCGCTTGGGTTAAATGATTCGAGAAGAATGTGGGAGGAAAAGTCGTAGCGTTTAATGGTTTGCACGGTAAACCTGTTCGCTTGGCTGGCGGCATTGTGTGTTGCATGCCGCATCCTGCAGGCTACATTTCGCCCAAAAACCACCCCAAGGCCAGACCAGACAGTTCAAATTTCAATCATTACAAGAGAAATGCTGGTCTCCCCTGACTCGCCGGACCGAGACTCTATCTAATCAGTAAAAGTCGCTGCTGCAAATCTCTTTTAAATGAGCCACTAATTGGAAACTGAAAGATAATACACAAAGAGCCAGCCCAGCCCCTCTTTGTACAAACTAATCAAGGGGATATACGAATAGGGGTTGGACTGTGAGGGAAGCTGGAAGACCTCCTTGTCCGCTAGTAGCAGAGAAAAAAAATTCTAGTTAAAGAAGCAATTATCGCAGAGATAGGGCAAAAGAGTTTTTGTTTTGTGGCAAGTTTTGGGGATAACTTTTGGTTTCTGTTTGTGAGGCACGTTTATCAGTCCGTAAGTTTCCGCCTCTACTTCCAGCTTTGCGTCTCTCGAGTATCTCTGCGTGTGCCCTGCTCATTGTTAACTTTTTGCCTTACTAATGTCTATCAGAGATATAAGGCCAAACTTTTATTTTGTAAGCAATGTGGGGGCTCGGGAAAGAGCTTTTTAAAACATCAGTTCTGAAGCCAGTCCACGTAGCGAACACACATGTACGAGCGTATGTACTTGCGTACATATTTATATAGCTCTAATCAGTCTGGGTATTTCGGGGTGATTTGCGGCGAACTTCAAGCTCCATTCAAGTGGATTATGGCACATGCTCCCTCGCTCGAACATTCTCTTTATTTTTCTGAATTACCAAACTTTTCCTACTTATTAAGAGTGTGTGAAAGCGTTTATTGTAAGCAAACAAAATTCCAGTTAATGGCGTAATTAGAAGCAACGCCTCTTATCCGCACACTCGAATCGTTCTCCAAAGAGAGTTAATAGTTTAAGCATTGTCATACCGAATCTTAATGTTTATTCTTTAACATATGTAGTTCCCTCTGGATCAAATCATATAAATCAAAGACAGTTGTGGTAAAATTTTTTTTTCCTGCTCCCCAAAAAACTCCTCAGTCACAGCAATCACGTCTTCATTTGAAGACTCGGAGCATTTTTTGTTTGTTTTAGGAACAACCAATAGTCGTTGTGAGCTTAATCAGTTAAATAATCAATTGTAAATATATTTGTATAATTTTCGCCTTTTAATCATCCCAGGTGGGTCTCAGATTCCCGATGGGCGCCTGATGCGACTAGATCTGCGTGGTGCCTCTTTTTGTGGTGGTGACTGTGGAGGCGCAGAATACTCGGCTATGTCATCAGGACCGTTCTAGATTTTGATGCATGATGACCTTGAATTCATCGGGCGTAAATACGGTTCCATAAGTGGTGATAAGCTGTCGTAGGAAAATAATGGCGTCGACAGCTGACGTGAACAGACGACGGATACATTAAGCCACTTAGAGTAAGAAGCCACTAGAAGGAAGGAGCTGAAACATTGGAAGGGGCCAGCAAAGGCGATGTACAGTCGTTTGGCTGATTCCCAGTGGTGCAGAGCTGTGTGTCGTGGCTCTTCCCGATTGTGCTGCAGCGATTTTGGGCTCCATAGCTTCGTGCAATATAATTAATTTTTGCGATCCTCGTACGAGAGGAATGTAGTGCCAAAGGTATAGTTTATCTACTACTCATAAGCCTTGGATAACGTTCTTGAATAAAATTAAACTGGCTTCTCTGCCCCGTTGGCCAGCTGCCACTGTGGGTATATGTGAAAGGAACGAATGGTATAAGAACCTCAGTGTAGCTGTATCTACAATATTCGTGAAAATACTTCATTTAGAGTGCCAGGTAAGTGCTACTGCGATTTCCTCAGCAAAGCCTTAGTGTACTTCAAGAAAATTGCTTTAGCAAGTTCGACTACATAAATAACTTTCATCTAAAATTTCTATTTAAAGGTAAGTGCTCGTTGATTTTGTAGGTTACTCGGAATATCACTACATCGAACACATAAATGTGTGTTCCAATTAGGGACATCAACGGTGTGTTGCAGTTCCAATTGGTTTGGTTAGAGAATATGTCAAATATCCCAGCTCTCCTTCCATGCTGTCAGCGGGCCTCATGTGAGTAAAATGTATATTTTTCACACTTTGAAATTCCGTTACTTAATCAATTTAATCATAGGGTACCTTTTAATCAAATCCAAGGAAATAAAATGCTGAAAATAAAATTGTTGCCTTACAACGATGCAAATAACATGTTAAATTTAATTTGATTTGTTTAAAGCACTCACTTTGAAGTTTTCATACAGCATGTGCCCCGATTGCAGGAAGGTGGAAGGGGCTGATGATGTGGACGAGGATGGGGATGGGAACGGAGAGCCACAGACAGGTGGGGAGGGCAGGTGGTCAGACAGCCAGAATGTGTATGATGAGATTGTTTGAATTACCTTTGCAATCAAATTGACACCACATAGACATCCAGGACTGACTGGGACAGACAGTTGGACAGGAAACTGACAGCGCCAACCGGCTGCGACGGTCCACCTCCATTTATGTCCGGGTGTCGGTTAATAGTGGAGCAGGAAATACCAGAGTCGTCTCCTAGCTGGCCGTGTCCAAGTGTCAGCCCGAGACACCTTACATTATTCATACGAGCTGATTCAAATGAAATTTTCCCCAATCCCAAAGCAGGGCTCGGCTCGAAGTAGGCCGTTAATTGTATGTAACAGGACCACGACATCCCATTCGACATAAACATTCAGCATTGAAAGCACATCAAAAATATAAATAAATCACAAAAAGTAAAACAAAATATTAAATCCGTGAACAGTCTGATCTGAATATGGAATGCAATTGGGCCGATCAGTCCGACTGGACATTCCAGCCAATGGCTTTCGAAGAGGAGGGTTTCATGGCCGACAACGAGAAGACAACGACTTTGAAGGAGATCCAGCGCCGGGGCAGTGTTATACTCGCCCAAGCGCGAGAGCACTCTTTGGCGCTGACCAAGAGCCTGCTCAATGCCGTGGATCCCAGTTGGCAGAGGGAGGTGGCCATGAGCGGGGATTCCTGCTGCTTGACCCCCCAGGCCTATCGCTTCAAGGACATCTATGAGGGCAAGAAGAAGCAGCAGCTGCGCAAGTGCCTAGAGGACGAGCGTAAGCAGCGCGAGTTCCACAGCCGTCCAATGCCAAACTTTCGCCAGTTCCACGAGCGCCAGGCCGCCAAGCCCATCGTCCACCGTGTGACCTTGCCAGTCACACCCAACGTGCTCAAAAACTCTGTCCAGTCGGAGATGCGGCGCCGCCAGCGGGTTGAGGAGGTGCTCAAGCAGCTGGACGTCCAGAAGCAATACCCCAAGGCGAAGCCCATTACGCGCAGCAGCACCAAAAGCGCGCGTCCATCTGCAAAGTCTTTAAGCAGCCAGTCCCTAGTTGAGCCACGTATACAGATACAGCCCTTTAACCTGTCCGTCGAACAACGTATTCAGAAGCGTAGGCTCTTCAATGCCCAGACCAACCAGATGCAGGAAACCCGTCGTCAGCAGCAGGAGGAGGAGCGCCTCCGTGCGGAACGTGAGGATTACCAGAAGCACCGCCAGATGACCACGTTCCGGGCTCGTCCCAACCCATTCGGCTCCTCGCCGCGTTAATGTGGTTTGGACTCCCTTTTTACGTTTTTCAATTTAGTTTGTTTCTTTGTTTTAAGTTCTTGTTTAAATTTGTTTTGTTGTTCGAAGAAATTAAATTACTATAATCATCAGCACACACCAAGAAATACACGAGTGCGTATGTACATGTGAATGCGTGTGAATGACTGCACAATCAATTTGTTCAATATACCCTGGCAGAGGATATTCCTATCGCCACCAGATGTTTGCACCGCACCGCCGAAGGGAAACAATTTTCCGTAAACTGCTCATTTGTCCAGTTCCTTCCCTTCTGTTCACACAGTATTTTGGCTAAGAATTGGATCCCTATATTATGCCTGCTACGGGCATATCCATAGTTTAATTTTACAACGAAATCAAATGACTGGCTACCGAAGGAACGATCAATCTTGAAGGGTATTCAAAAGTTCGGAGTCCTAAGCCAGCCCTATTTTCTGGTTTAAAACGGCTCGGGTCGGTGGCTCCATCAATCAAGTGGCCCAGCCCCAGCCTCATCCCCATTTCCAAGCCCGAACCCCAACCCACATCCAATCCGTAGAGGAGGGCTACCTACGCCCACGTGTTCCCGTACAAACAATTTGTTGTAAGTGTATCATTTGATGCGCCTGTGATGCATGCGTGTGAGTGCCACGTATGAGTGTGAGTTTTCCACGTGAGTGTAGGAGTACGTCACATAATCAAAAGCACAAATACTAAAACAAGCACTCAAACTGTCAAAGCGATGATTGATAGTGTTGACATTCGCTTTTTGGCTCCTGCCATTCGCCCCTGGCCCTGCTAGCTGACTTTTTGTGCATTGGCTTTCTGTTAATGGGACGTTTTGGCGGCGGGTTCGTCCCTTTGAAAAAGATTCGATCCCCATACTCAGTGTTTATGCTCGTACATACATATATCCTTGCACCCCCAATCCCTCTACCCCATCGATTGTGCGAGTGTGTGTCTGTCTGAATGATGAATTGCATTGCATGTGTTTATCGAGGTACACTGAAATTTGTATTTATTGCAAATTTGCTGGCGAGTTGAAAGGTGAGCATCCATCACCTGATCCCGTATTGAATAGCAGTTAAGCAATTAAATTGGTACAAGACTCAACAGCAGACTTTGCTCGAGTGGGGTGGTTGTGTTGAGAGGTGAATGATATGAAATTATCAAAATTAACTGATTCTATATTTTAATTTAAAGTTCGTAATTACTTAATTGTATAAAAAATTCATTCGCTTGTTTTACAGCCCACTGACAGCTGTTATTTCCATACTGTAAATACAACACTTAACAGCCTGTTAACTGATTCCAGAGCGAAAACTGTGCTAACGGTTAACGCTGCCAGCGGGGAAGTTAACATTTCCTGTATCCAAACAGACATCTGCTTCTGTTAAAGCGGACTTAACAGTATTTTTGAAATAACGGACAATAATATGTTAAGATAATGTTGCTTTAACAGAGTCTGTTAATACGATATACTTGTGGAGTCAAGGGTTTTCAAGTTTTTCACTTGTATAAATCTTGGGCCTGTTTGTCTGAATGAGCAAATGCCTCTCTGTGACTAGGCCCGACTGAAAAGTATAATAAAACCAAGAAAATTGTAGTGCACTTATATTTTTTACCAAACCATGAGTTTTACCGTACGTAAAATATTAGAATACAAAAATGAATTGACGAATGAATATGAAATGTACATACATACATACATATGTATATATTTGAGCGTACGCCGTATGTGATAGTGGCCTTTTAGGAGTGCGAGCGCAATCATCGTTGAGCATGGACATGTGCGCAGTCCCATTTCCTTATGGGAAATCTTAAATTTGTCTACACTTCGTGCTCTTATGGTATCCACAAATAGTTAGGAGCAAAAGTATCTCCAGCATTTTTACTTAGACCCAGACTGCTACAGGTACGAAATAATGGAATAAATGGAAAGTCTGCTCCCCACAACAGGTGAAACAGGTGGAAAAGCAATAATGGAGACAACTTTCTATATAGGATATTCGATTTGGCAGTTTTGTATACTTATACTTACTTTTAGTAGTATGTGTGTGTCATCATATTGCTTTAAATAAACAAATTAAATATTGTCTGAATTAAGACCGACAATACCGACTGACAGTACCATCCACTCAGAAACTGGGCTAAAAAACGACTGCAGAAACGTAGTTCTTATACATTCTTCCTTATCAGTCCCATTTGACATTTTTATTATATGTAATCTATATATATACATATGTACATATGATTTGTCCCATATTTTTCATCTTCAATAGACGAATATGGCTTCCAAAAATAAATAAAGCAATTCTAGGAACATACTGACAAAAAGTTTCCCTCAAAGGGTTTTTCACACCGAGCACCCAAGCCGTATCTTACGGGACGCCGTATTCCTCCAAGCTTTGCTGAGCCTGGATTAGTTACTAAGCATGTGCCTGAGGAACAGGTAACAAAAAAGCTGCAACCCGCCTTAAAGGGAAGGCGACAGGCATCGGAGCTCATGTGCGTGCAAGCCAGAAGTTGCGTGTCCTACATTCTGCATACGATACGGGGATGCAAAGCTCTGTGGGAACGGATCGGATCGGAGCAGAAAGGAAAGGAGAGTGTACGCCAAACATAGCAATTGGGTATTCAGCGCGGAACAATGTCCCGAATTTGATGGGCGGTTGCAGGGGGTAACGGATGCGTGGGCGTGCGCTGGAGTATATGTTTCTGCTCGTCTTTGGCTTTTATTTTGTGGCTTTTATGAGAAGGAGCTTGTGGTTAAATGAGACGCCTGCCGGATGCCGGATGCGTCTCTCCACTCGTGGGCCTCCTCCGCTGTGTTTCTGGGGAGCACGGAATTTAATAACGCTCTCATGCATGCAAAATAACACATAAAAACGTAAAAATGCACACACAAAAAAGCAAACAAAGCCCCCGCTGGAGAGTTGCACGCGGGATGTGAATGTGGACCGAGAGGCGGTAGTGGAGCTGCAAGCGCGTCGGTGAAAACAATTTTCGCAGTCAATTTTCTTTTATGAGCAGAAAATATTTCACTGTGAAAATATTATATGAATATTGGCAGCCGTCAGCCGACGGCGGTTTCAGCCTCCGACTCCCATGCGGAAGGCCGAGTTTGGAGCCGTTTACTGGGGCACGGGCGGTACTCTGGGTATCTTCTGTGGGTGTACCATTGCAACGCATGTGGCAAAAAACTCACACAGAAGTGGCCGTCATATTTAAGTGCCACCCCCATCACCATGCAGTTTAGTTGCAGCGGAAGGCTCCTGACGTTGAAGCGTGCCCCACAATATTGAATCACTCCAGTTTCCATATTCAATTTCACTTTTCGGTTTCGTTAATGTTTGCCAAAGGGAAGTTTGGACATGTGGAGAATTTCATGGCAGATTCCTTTACAAACTGTGCTCGGTTTATTAAATTTTTTGTGTGGTGATACGGAAGGTGAGAAGGATACGCGATGCCTTAAGAGCAAATAATCGCGCATTCATCAGGACACCAACAAAAATGAAGACATACAGGAACCAATACAAATAGATTTAAAATTAAGCAAAGCACAACATGTTCTTCCCTGTATCGTTTCGATTTTCAGATGCGTTTTGATCCAGCGTACAAGAATTAATTTTCCTGACATTTACAAAAAGAATCTTTGTATCTTTGTTCACAATATATTTGAACACAAAGAAATCAGAGCTAAAAAGTGCACAAATTTAAAGAAGAATCATAAAAATGGAGTATAAAATCTGAGCGAACGCCCAGCGTCTTCAATGAGGCTCATAAAACGAAACAAAGGCAGGACCAGGAGCGTATTTGGAGATGGATCTGGGGTGGCCAGACGCACAGCAATTGCTGCAGAAAGTCAAAGTCATTAAAAAGTAATGTCATCGTCAACATTTCAGCGCGCCTCCATCTCCATCCACCTCTCCGTCCAACATTGCCCACAGTAGCCTCTGGCGCTTAGTTGCCGTTTCAACTCCTTCAGCCCTCGTGCGCTCCATTAATGATGGATGACGACTCGAGTCGACTAGACCTCTCCACAGCTCAAGCGTCCTCCTCTCTTCCCTGGTCTGGGTTCCTTTGCAGGGTCTCGTCTCTGCTAACCGAAAATGATTTGATGAAAACATTTGAAATTTTTATCGGGTGCAAATTTATGCAGAACTGTGGATGTCATCGCCGTTGCGTTGGCCGCAGAAAAATGATGACGATGCCGTTGTGACGTTGAAATATGAAGAAACATTACCTTTCTGCTTGGGATCTGTTTCTGAGGTCTGGGAACCCCGCCCCCCAAAGGCAGCAAATCGCGTGCTGTACTCAACCGAGTGGAGTGCCGTCTGGTGGCAGTCGATAAGAAGTTTTTGTTGTTTTTATGGGATTTCATTTTGATTAACATTAGGGTTGCACTTAAAATTTGTAATAAATGACTTTGAAATTGATTGGAAGCTCACATTCCTTTCTTTTATATGACCGTCAAGACCGTGGAACACGCTTGAATACACGCAAAATTAAATCTTTGTTCCTCACATGGGATTATATTTCTTCGTTTTAAACCGAAAATAAATCGATATTTCCTTCCCCAGCTTTGATCATGAACCATCACTCCCAATCTGTTAAAATAAAATCATAATTAAATTGCATAATGGCTAATGACGAAATTATCGGGTATATGGATGTATGTATGCAAGTTGTAGAAGAGAATTATTATTAATTAATATATGCATTAATCATAAAACATATACAAATTAAAATGTTTATTAGTTAATTTGTGAATACACTAATTACAATTGATAATATTGCAATTAAAATAAAAGGAACATTAATTCTGATAACGTCCAGAAAGACATTTTATTCTAGATTTGAATAAAATGTCTGTTGCAGAAAAAACAGACGTTGTTATAAACCGTATGTTTATTATATTTGAGAAATTATATAAATAACTGGATTAATTAATGATAATACCATGCTATCCTGTTGTTCCTAGCGGATTGATCCACTGCTCTTAAATGCTCAGATCATTTGCAATTTATAATTTAATACAAATTAGGTACAAAATGGAAGTCTATTTTAAAAAATCAAATTCAAGTCTATTGAGAAAATCTGCATTTGTCCTTAT